TGCACGTCGCGACGCCATGATGCGCGGTGAGATGGCATGATGCACGTCGCGACGCCATGATGCGCGGTGAGATGGCATGATGCACGTCGCGACACCATGATGCGCGGTGAGATGGCATGATGCACGTCGCGACACCATGATGCGCGGTGAGATGGCATGACGCACGTCGCGACGCCATGATATGTGATGAGATGGCATGACGCACGTCGTGACGCCATGATGCGCGGTGAGATAGCATGACGCACGGCGAGATGCCATGATTCGCGGTGAGATGGCATGACACACGTCGCGACACCATGATGCATGATGAGATGGCATGACGCATATCACGACGCCATGATACGTGATGAGATGGCATGACGCACGTCGCGATGCCATGATGCCCATGGAGATGGCATGACGCACGTCGCAACGCCATGATACGCGGTGAGATGGCATGATGCACGTCGCGACACCGCGTCCGAGACGCCGATCGCAACCCGAGACAACTCGAGACAACTCAAGACAACTCGAGACAACTCAAGACAACTCAAGACAACTCGAGACAACTCAAGACAACTTGAGATGACTCAAGACAACTTGAGACAACTTGAGATGACTTGAGACAACTCCAGATAATACGAGACGACTCGAGACTTGAGACAATCGGAGTTTGGGTCGGAGACTGCGGAGTCGACCCCCGCTCGCGCGCGCAACTAAACAAAGTAATACTAACTAGCCTGGCGAGTACAACCAACAACAGGGGGCGCTCTAACGCGGGAGCGCGTGCCGGCAGGTGGCGCCGCCGTCCGACGACACGTCGCCGTTCGCCGCCCGACTCTACTTGCGCGGCGCGCGTACGTAAACAAGAGAGCGTCTACCGCGACGCCTAAATCTACCGTCGAGAAAACGCCCGGCTGGGTCGCGGCGTAGATTTGCATCTCGGTCGCCAGATGGCGCCACCGAATGCCGAAAGCATTTCGGGGCCCGGCGTCGCCCCCCGTCCGCGGTTTGACGAACATCAGGGCGGCACCTGCGAGATGGCAGCACCGTGCACCCTGCCACGGCGCGGGGGTCGATCTATATGTTACTTGTTAGTCTGGCTGTTAATCCATCATATCAATATTACATTAATCAATACATCGATACACGATCGATCCGTGACAAAAACCTAGTGACAAAACAAGTGGCGCGGCAACATTCTGCCAAACTGGCCAGGTGGCAGCACAGGGCAGTGTTAGAGGTAGGTTAGAGGCGCCCCCTGGCGAGATGGGCGGAGGCCGTGCGACGGTGCTGCAACCTAGTGAGAGAGCACGGCGACGCGGGCAATCAAACTCAAACTGCCGCCGTCGCCCGCCAGGGGGCGCCGCCGCAGCAACCGCTAGCGAGACGAAATCCGCGCGCTCCTGCGTCCAAGATGGCCGCCTCCCTCCGGCTCCAGCGGCGGCAGCGTTCACTTGTCGCGCGTCGCCGAGTGCGGAAGTTGCTCGTCCGTGTCGCTAGGTGTCGCCTCCAGTTCGTCGTCCGTCATCACGGTGACGAGCGTTCCCACGGCAACGCCGACGTGACCCGCCATGTGGAAGAGGTCGCCGACGTTCTTCGAGCCGCCTGAAAATAGAGGGCGCCTGCGGTCAGTCGCTCGGACGAACTTCGGACGCGGCGCGGCGCTCGGACGTCGTTGTGGCTTGAGTGCTGACCCCTAGTGTGAGCGTTCCGGAAATAATATGTACTACTAGTGCTGCCCCCTGCGGGAGCGCTTGAGGAACAATATGTACGCTTTACTGCTGCCCCCTGGTGTGAGCGCTCGGTACCGTACGCGTTCTTGGTTAATATTGATCTACGAACTCGCGCGGCGTTTCACGACTAGTGCCGCCCCCTGGCGCTCACGATACCTTTGCGTTCTGATTGGTTAATGTGATCTTCGAATTCGTGCAGCATTTCGTCCAGTTGACTGTTCTCGCGATCTCTGTCTACACCGCCACCACCAATGTGCTCCCTACTGCTGCCTGCAAGACACACAGACAGAGTTGAGGGAGGGGTGAGAGGGTGAGGGAGAGGGAGGGAGGAGGGGGTGAGAGGAGGGGGGAGGGGGAGAGAGGGGAGGATCTCTGTCTATACCTCCACCACCAACGTGCTCCCTACTGCTGCATGCAAGACACACAGACAGAGTTGAGGGAGGGGTGAGAGGGTGAAAGAGGAAGGGGCAATAGGAGGGGGAGGGTGAGGGGGGAGGAGGGTAAGAGAGGGAGGGAGAGGGATGGATGAGGAGGTGATGGGTGAGGAAGGGATGGGTATGTAAGAGGAGTGAGGGAGGAATGAGGAAGGGGTGAGGAAGGGATGGGGACGTGAGAGAGGGATCAGGGTGTGCGAGAGAAGTGGGAAGAGAGAGAAAGACAGAGCGAGTATATATAATAAAGACAGAGAATGAAAGAAATAGAGAGAGAGAACGTATAGAGAGTAAGTTTATCAAGAGACAGACGATGACAATCACACTAACTGAAGCCATGCCAAGAAAGAAAGTGTCAGGCAGCATGCCAACCCTACTTTTCTCCTCTCATCACCCCTCCCTCTTTACCAGTTTCTAGTTCCTTCCTATTCCCCTCCCCTTTCATGCACCACTTTTTCTTCCGACACCCTCTCCTAACCTCCGACCCTCTCTTAACTCAAAACCTGATGCTTCCACCTGTACACCTCCCATTTTCTTCCTACCGGGAGTACCCTCTCCAGTAGCTCTACCACTAACACAAAGTACCCTCTCCTTCCCAGCATCACATACTCCTCCCCTTTTCACCCACCCTCTCACCTTATCCCCTCTCTTAGTTCCTCGACTCCCCTTCTCCTTCCCCATCCTCTCTTTTCCACTTCCCCTTCCCCAACATCACCTACCTCTTTTCACCCTCTCACCTCAACTCCTTTCTTCACACCTTACACGCTCCTTCTTCCCAGGCTGAGAGAGAGAGAGGATGACTAACAGGGTTTACTAGAATCCCACCACTCCACCACAGAGTCACCGCAGTAGACGTTAGATGAGCGCTGTCGCTCCGCGGCACTTGTTTTGTATTTTTTTTGTAGACGCTTCGTTGTCGTGCATGCGGCGGCGCCGGACGCCAGGCGGCAGCAGTAGTCGTAGCGCGTTTTTTGTCGTTGGCATTTCGTCCGGTTGGTTGCTTGCATGCGATAGTTTGCCTAGGATGGCTGCTTAGATAGTAGCATCAGTCTATCAGTATATTGATAGACTCCTGATAGTAGAGGATGAGGGAGAAGGGGGAGGGGCTAGGAGAGGAGAGAGGGTGGGAAGAAGAAGAGGAAGCTGAGGAAAATGTGTTCACATACACGCCGAAACAGTGGAATGCACAGGGATGGTATCAGGAACCTTCTCAAAGGAATGTTCGTTGGGATCGTTATGAAAGTTGCCACGAGATGGCGCGTACGTTTAAGTGTCTTCAGATTAAAGATGGAAGCTCGACTTTAACGGTGGCCCGGGTGCCAATGGCCACCTGAAACGNTTCTGTTGTTGTCTAGGCAAACTACTCGCAATGCAAGCAACCAACGGCCGGACGATCAATCCAACGACCAAAAACCGCGCTACTGAACTGACTGGCTGCGCGGGCGATGGCGCTCCGGCGCGCGCATGCACGAGCAACGCGAAACGTCTACAAAAAAAAAAATACAAAAAAAATAAATACACGAATTAAACATTAAGGGCGCGGTGGTGGCGCCACCTACCGTTCCGCTGTATCCCTCGGTCGACGCTCCGCGAGACAGAGGCGAGTGCCGCGGAGCGCGTACGTCGCGCTGCGACCGGCGCGCGCGCCATCTGTGCTCTTCACGCTCGACGACGGCGTCATGTAGGGGGAGCTGTGAGCGCTCATACGTGGTCGAGCGCACGAATTCGCCGGCTTTCCTGTTGCTATGGTGACGGAACGACGCGAGAGAGACAGAGACAGTTAGATGATGTGAGGAAGAACTAGTGATTATTTATTATTAATTAATTATTATTAATTAATTTTTTTTTAAATATTTTCAAATTTTATGATTTGGAATTCGAGAACAAACCTAAAACCATGCGGGATCGATAACCAATAATCAGTTATCAATAATCAAAGACAGACACTGACGAATCGCACGATGAACTACTTTGATAATGTGATGTTAATAACCTGCACTTTATCTCTTATCATCACCATTAATAAAGACTAAATTAAATAATAATCAAAATCAATCAATAAATCAATCGGAATATAATCATTGATGTTTATCATCCATATGACAAAGATCAATACGTCGTTTAAAAAATCTAAAACCTGGACAAAGTAGGACAAATAACGATCGATCATATAGCCGAATAACCGATCAATAACCAATAACCGATCAATAACCAATCAATAGATCGACCCACCTCCTCTGCTAGCAGCTGCCTCAGCCTGTGAAGCTGCGCCTCCAGCTGTCGGTTATGATCTTCCAATATCTGCATCCTCGCCTCCAGACGACCCTTGTGTTGCCGTAGCAACCGCGCCTCGGCGACCATCTCCACGTCGCGACCCGACCCGGGGTCAAGGTCGGACGACGCCGGCGGCGTGACCTCCTTCGCCAGGCGGCGCTGCTGCTGCCTCGTCTTCAGGCGGTCGTACTCGGCTTGCAGTTGCCTGTGCGGCGAGAGAGAGAAAGAGACGTTCGGTTGTTTCGCGCGGCGACAATATTTTTCTGGGGGGGGGGGACTTCTGCCAGGGTGTTGTTTACGGGTATTTTTTTTGGGGGGGGGGTCGGAGATTCCTTTTACTTTTGTTATTATTTACGTTTAGATTTGTTGACCACCTTGATTTGACCTTGACTCGACCACCTTCCTCCTTCTCCTCTTGTTCCTCCGACCCAGCTCTCCCTCAACCTCTCTCCCTCTCTCCTTCCCTCCTCTACCATCCTTCCTCCCCAACCCTCCTCCCTTCTCTACCCCACCCTTCTCCCTCCTCTATCATCCTTCCTCCCCAACCCTCTCCCTGCTCTATCATTCTTCCTCCCCCACCCTCCTCCCTGCTCTACCATCCTTCCTCTACCCAACCCTCTCCCTCCTCCCTCTCACCTGTTCTCATGTTCTAGATCCTTGATCATGCCCTCCATCTCCTCCTGTTGTTCATGATCAACGGCAGCGATGATCTGTGCCGGACTCCGTGGCTGAAACACAGAGAGAGAAAGACGCCGTGTAAAACACAGAGAGAGAGAGAGAGAGACCGTGTGAGGGCAGTGTGTGATACACACACGGTCTGTCTGTCTGTCTGTCAGTCTCTCATTTTCTATCTCTCTCTCTTTTTCTGTCTGTCTGTCTGCCTGCCTGCCTGCCTGCCTGCCTGCCTGCCTGCCTCTCTCTCTCCCTCTCTGTCTATCTGTCTATCTATCTGTCTCTCTGTCTATCTCTCTGTCTGTCTGCTTCTCTGTCCATTTATGTATCCGTCTATCTGTCCATCTGTCTGTCTGTCCGTCCGTCCGTCTGTCTGTATGTCCGTCCGTCCGTCTGTCTGTCCATCCGTCCGTCCGTCTGTCTGCCTGTCTGTCTGTCCGTCCGTCTGTCTGTATGTCCGTTCGTCTGTCTGTATGTCCGTCCGTCCGTCCATCTGTCTGCCTGTCTGTCTGTCCGTCCGTCTGTCTGTATCTCTGTTCGTCTGTCTGTATGTCCGTCCGTCCGTCCATCTGTCTGCCTGTCTGTCTGTCCGTCCGTCTGTCTGTATCTCTGTTCGTCTGTCTGTATGTCCGTCCGTCCGTCCATCTGTCTGCCTGTCTGTCTGTCCGTCCGTCTGTCTGTATCTCTGT